TAAAATGGGAAGGGGAGAGAGAGCTATACATTTACAGTTTGACCATCTTGAAGAGCAGAATCTACTCTCCATAAGGGCCTGTGATTAGGAGGAAGTTTTCCTGATCGTTGTGCCTCGAGAAAAATAATCGATTTGGTAAGAGCTTCTTGATAATTAAAATCTCCATTTACAACCACAAAATGACCTTGAAATATAATGAACCATGCTAGAACAAAGGTTCCAAATGCCTTTATTACAGAAATGTTCATGACTAATAAAAATGATTTCTTAAGTGAAGAATATTGCGATTGATGAATAATGCACCAAAAAGGATTAGAAAAAAGTTTGTTAATTTGGAGAAGTAAAAGAGAGGAAATAGGGAACAATCGGTACAACCCACTCACTAGGAAGTTAGATAGTAATGGTGTTTGTTTAAGGTGTTTTTTTCCTAAGGGGGACAGTCAATGGCTAAAACTTTTTGGACTATGGCATTGGTAAATTAGAGTTTTTTGGAAATTATAATGGCGGGAAATAACACAAAGTTAGTTATCGGCTTTGGAAAGTTGTTAATATCCAAAAATTAGTTATTGAGGAGCTAAAAAACAAAAAACAAACAGAACGTCGCCTGAGAGATTCGAACTCTCGCGGGGAAACCCCATGTACTTAGCAGGCACACGCCTTAACCACTCGGCCAAAGCGACGAAGTTATCGACATCCTATTGACAATATTATATAAAAGCATAAACATATGCGATTATTTGATCCATTTGCGTACGGTATAAACAATTGAGGGATTAGTTATACCCACAATGTTGTGTTATTTTTATATTATATTCAGTGTGAGATAACAATCTTGAGATAAAATAACCAAATGACAGAAGTGTCCTTTTCCAAAACTCTCTGTTCAAAGTCCTTTAAGAAGACTAAGGTTAAGGTTGAAAATAAAAGTTTATTTATTATAAAATCAAATACGTACTTTTATATTATATCCATATATTTTATTTTTATCCAATGAATCAAAAGTCCCAAGAAAAATATATCCACTAAATAATCTCGTTATTATTTAACTCTTGAAATATAATGCCCGCATTATATAACTAGTTTTGCAAATCAAACGATCTGAAGGGTGTTGTTAACGTTTTTTGTAGCTAGACAAAATTAGTAGCCAAATGTGAGTTTAGTGGATAGGAATATGTGTTACTTTTCATCAAGCTTAATATTTTTCTCGTGAACTTTTAAAGCTTTCTCATTACATATATTAACTTTTCGAGTGACTCATTACATTGTACACGCCTCAACTTGTAAAGACATTGTCAAGAAAAAGTCTCTTTGGTTTAGCTGTTTTGAAGCATAAAATGGAACAATTTTCCTTAGTCAAACAGGAAAAAGCCACCAGCTTTGCTTTCTCTTTTGCATTGAATTACCACATTTTATCAGACAGATTAAGACATTTGTTTTGTTTATTTTCACGTACTGAGTCACTCTCAAGTCTCAAACAACTTGCTCAGAATAAGCAATTTCCCCTTAAATTGTTCGCACTCTCACATTCCAATCACACAGTAGGATCGGAGAGTGACTTTTAACTCAACTGTACTTGACCATATGTAACATGCAAAGATCCTATTCATTTAAGTACTTGTTTGGTGGAACAGTCCGTAAGCTATATACACAGTCTTTAACATGGACAATTTATTGTGCAATATCCCGTTCGTAACCAGAGATGAATTTAGTTTAAGTCGAGATCAGGTACAATTATTACTGTTCGTTAGAGTACATGCTTTGCTATCGGTTGTACACAACAACACTCTCGTCTATGACCAGAGACAGATATAGAATTTTATTGTTTTAATTGTCCAAATGCTTCCTTCACGCGCTTAATGAAATGTGATTAAAGTGTCCCGAGTGAGAGTGTTTTGGACCCGAAGCAGTAGAAAAATGAGCTCCTGATTACCATCACAGACTAAAGACAGGTCCTTCTGTTAATCTCATCAGCTAGTCCTGATTACCAATGAAATCCAGATTAATGTTTTCAACCTTAAAACCACAAAGAAACTACATGTGTAATCAGTAACAGCTCCATTTTTCTTTTTCTCATGAAAATCCGAACAGAATAATTTCCAAGAAAACCAACTGCTTACCAAAAGTATGGAATCAGATCTCGCTACCAGAAAACTAAAGCTAGTATTCAATTGCTCCAATAGTAAACAAACAAGAGAAAATTAGTTGAAATTTCACTAAGGAACTGTCTAACAGCACAAAGCTACCTTCAGAATTGAACAATAGTTTAAACTGAATATACCACCTTAAGCAGCAAAATTTATTCAAGTTTAACTCTATTATCTAGTAGACTAATACTAATTTACCTGAATGGCCTTCTTTCAATATTACCTGAACTCCTAGCACGCGATTTGAATTATAACATTTTGATCACTGAACTGTCCGTTCAACTATCAATTGTTGAAAAACAACTCTGAGATCTAACCAAACCGTGTCTACTCACAGGATTTGATCTAGGTGAATCCAAACTCCTTAACATCAGTTGCTTCACCGCCGATATCAGTTCCTCCGTTGGATTGGGCGGCGGCCTTAAAGCTCTGAACTTCTTGCAGAAATTCATGTGCCGATTCAGAGCCTCCTCACTTCCAATCCTCGACTCCGATCTCATGATCTCATCCTTCACTGCCTCCGCGCATAGTCCGCAAATCCACCGCCCTCCGTTCCTCTCCCGAACTCTCGCTATATACGCCACCGTACACTCCTCCGTCAATCCGCAGCACTCGCATTTCACCAACTCCGCTTCAACTCCAGTACCTTCCGCGCCCTGTTTCTTCATCATCATTGCTGCCGTTGCTCAAATAATTAGCCTGAAACTATTACCTTTCTTTTTAACACATATTCTTAAAGACCGTTTCCAAATTTTGAAATTCAAATCACAAAATCAGCATTTACTATAATAATTCTTCGGAATGAATTCTGAGGCAGATCCAGCGCAATAAGTGCATATACCAACTTTCTATAGTTAGGATTGAAGATATATATACAATTTATATTTTACGTCCATTGGCTTTAAATTCTAAATTCGCCTATAATTATAAAAGACATATACAGTACAAAAACTGAAAATCTGGCAGGAATTTTATAGTTACGACTTGGACTTTGCTGATGAAAATAATGAATCCATAAATAGTCAAAATCTCGTACCTGAATCTTTTTTTCCCAGAATATCAAATGATTTTCTGATTATATATAGCAAAAAAACGCGGTGTTGTAAAATTTATCTTTCTTTTTCCCAGTGGACTTCTTCTTCAACAATATCACCACCAATGATCAACAGCTTGAATACTACATACATTTCATAGAGCCCTGTTTGGCTCCACTTGATGAATATATCCTCTTCTGATTCTGAATATGAAACCCAGCTGAAATTCACACCTGAAAATTACGCTCAAACAAACACGACTTTTGTATTTGTGAACAGAGAAGAAGAAGATTCAGGAAGTTGATGTTATACTATGTTCTTGGAATATTAGTTATTTATATGAGATGATTAGGTACGTAAGGGAGAGATGATGGTAATTTTTCATTAAAATTGCTTCTTCTTTTTTTTTTTAATTGGAAAACAGACAAAACATAAGTTATTATAATAATTGGAAGCTTGTGTAAGACAGTAAAAGTTGTTCACGTCAAGGTTTAGATGGCGGCCTTGAGCTGTATATATTGTGTTTACACGTAAAATTTGTTCATACTTATCATCACAGTCAGATCAGATGGTGTTAAAAATTAGCCCAAGTTAAACAAGTTTACATAACATGGTTAATTGAACTAATGTTTGACTTTGGATTAGGGGTGGGTATAGTTTGGGCAAATCCGAAATCCAAACCAAAATCCGAACATTTTGGGTTTTTGGTTTGGATTTTTGATTTAATTTTAAATTTTTTGGATTTCGGATTGGTTATTGGATTTGGTAATTCGAATTTTTGGATATCCGAAAATCCGATATTTTTATACTTTATATTTACTCCATTATTCATATACCAACGGTAATAAGTTCAATACCCTACCCATTAAATATTATCTCATATATTCAATATTAATTACTAAGTTATTGTCAGAATACTTTCTATTTGGACATGATTTTACTATTGCTATTTCTTATGGCCGTATTAATGTCTCTATTGTATCCTTTTTACAATAATTTTATTAGTTGAATACTTTATTTGTATGATTGCGGCATGAGGAACTTTTCAGGCAATTTAACTTGAGTATTTCATTTGGATATTCATTTTCTGTAAAAAGTAAAAACATCTTAACTTATACGCTCAAAACAGAAAATTCATAATATCCAAACCGATTAATCCAAAACCGAACTTAAAAAATCCGATCCAATCCGAACTTATTTGGATTGGATTTGGATTGTCATTTTTTCAATCTGAAAACCGAAAATTCAAACCGAAATTCTCATATCCAATCCGAACTGCCCGAACACCCACCCCTACTTTGGATGAGTAATACAATTAAAGATTACCACATTAACATGACAAATGAGCAGATTAAGTTGACGTGTTATATACGTAGTGTGTACTATTTAAGTACAATTTTGATCAAATTTTAAGCACCTAAAATACATGGTTAGTGAAGATTAGTATAATAATCCAATTTGTTTTCAACCGAGGGTAATTTTTGTTGTTATATTCTTTTATCTCAAGTAACAATTGAAATGGAATGATCAAATTTCATTGAAATTGTTCTTTATCAGAAACCATTAATCAAATTACTAAAATGAGCAATTGAACAATTGACTTTAGTAAAATATGTCTGAAGAGATTGGATCAAATTGATTTTGATGTCTGATAGGCATGATTGCAACATTTAAACTTCAAATTAAAGTATCATTTCTAGCAAAATATATATTCTAATACATTTGCAAATTGTTTAATCGCATCCCATGCGAAACACGCCTTTATAAAATATTATCATTGCTAATTAATGAACAATTATGCAAGTAGGTCATTATTTGTTATATCCCTGATCTTGCTTCTTTATTCCTCTCAATTTTTCGACACGCTTAGGACATGTTCTAAATATTAAAGAGAAAAACGTGCTTAATACTGTACTGATGAATATGACTTATTTAAAACAATAACTTATTATAATTGCCTAACATATTAAATAAATCGAATTCAGACGTGATGAGATGACTATAAAGGCAGGCATACTGCATATTAATGTGAACGCCAACATTTCGTATTTGGCCACGAGCGATTATTAAGGATCGTCCAAGTGAATGTTACGGGCAAGGTAGGACCAAATTACATCAATTATTTAAAAAACAACACGAGGAAAAATATTATATATATATATATATATATAT